ACGTATATACATTGCCCTTAATCTGTTGGCATATTTAATTCATCCAATTTTGTTTTACACACAAAGCAATGTCGATCGATGAGAAATCGCTTCCTAAAGATTGATTTTCCCAGTTTGTACGTATATAAACGATTTAGTCAAAGAGGATACTCTTTCTGATGCATTTTAGTCCGTGTCACTATTAATTGTGAAACTGGCTTCTATTAAAACTCCGACATGCCCATTAACATATACATTTGAGTGATGGGTATACAAAATTCCATTTAAGGTGCACCTAGACTTATTGGTTTTTTTTATTTTTTTTTTATTATTATTATTATTATTATTATTATTAATTTTGTCCGGAGATTGATCCGTTCGATCCGTATAAAACAATCGTTGAATTTTCAATTATAAACATATATAAAGAAAAGAAACTAATGTTTTGACAAACTAAGCTAAATGATTACATTTTATATTCACAAAAAGAAAAAGGAAAACAAAAACAAAAGAACAATATCCGAAAAAACGCTATATAATCTCCGTAGAAAATTGAATTCAATCATTAAATACGCTTAACCATGAAAAATAAATAGAAAAAAAAAAAGAGTTATATTTGAATTTTTTGTGGACCACATAAAACCTAAGGCATTTATATATAAATATATATATATATATTTAATTATATTTTATAATTTATTTAAAAAGAAATAAATAAAAAAATGAATGAAAAATAAACAGCCACAATAATAACATAACAACAATACTGACATTGAATGTGAATTTCGGGTCTGGTCACACAAAGTCAAAGGACTCTCTTACACTATCCAATCCCTAATTAATTAAAAGTAAAAAATATAAAGCATTTGATTTAAAAATTTTTTCTATTCACTTAACGTTAAAAAACTGAAAATACATTTATAGATATAAGACAAGAATTTAACAAAAAGAAAAAGGAAAAAGATAAACTTAAACCTGAAAGCAAGCCTTAGGTTTAAATAAAAAATTTATATATATAAATATATATCTTTAGAAATAAAAAAAGAAACCCTTTTACATATTCACTTTACAAACATAATATATATATATATATATATATATATATATATATATGCATGGACGTATATATATACAGATATATATATATATATATATATATATTTTATTTTTATTTTTTTTTTTTTTTGCATTTTATCCTAAATTATATATTATATTACATTATATGATAAGCAAATTTACTTAAATTTATAAATAAAGAAAACTTGTTGCGGAAAGTAAGCAACAGAAGAGACACTTTAAGCAAAAAAAAAAAAAAAAAAAAAAAAAAAAAATGTAAGCCACAAGCGCTTTAGAATACAAAATTAATTTTCTTTTTTCTTCACTTTTCGCTTTCAATGCTTAAGAACATTTTACGTGAAGCGCAAAAGTATTTTAAAATAAAAATAATAAAAATAGTAATAAAAATTATAAAAGAACAAAAAAAAAAAAATAACAAAAAAAAAAAAATACAAAAAACAAAATGCAAATTTAATATTTAAAAAACAAATACTTGATCATTTTATTTCATTTGGTTTAACTTTTTAGGGCTTCGAAACTAATGCGTAAATCATTTCGTATTCAGAGTATTCAAGTTCAATATATAAATAATTCAATCGAATACAAAAATATCAATTAAATTCGGGGTCTTCCCGGAAGCTATTGCGTGTACCATGAACTGACCATGAAATTTCTACTGTTGTAGTTTTTTTATTTTAAATCCACCTTTCGCGAATATTTTAAATATTTTCATTCAGTTTGATAGAACCAAACAGCAAAAGCACAAAAACCACATTTTGAAATTTTTATACCCTACGCCATTTGTAGGTGTTGCGGTTATCTGCGTTCCTCGTGTTCAAAATGCAGGTTATGCAGGAGATGCGGTTTCATAACCTAGTCTCGGTGTGTATTCTTTTATTTTTTTTTTCACATATGATGAGACATTTGTTAATGTTAATGACAAGAACAACTAATAGCCACATGACGAAATTCGTATCACTTAGTAATTTCTGAAATTAGATCGTCTTCTCGCGGACCGATGGACAGAATCACGTTCTGTATCGATATAAGAGAGAGCGAGAAAGTGATTCAGATTGTCTGTCCATCTGTCCGTTTTGCTTATTTTTTGTGTTCAACCCATAGCCCTATAGCTTCAACAATTGAATTTGAAGAGAATTTTTAATTTCCTTCCAATACAATTGATTTCAAGGCTTCCAAAATCCTATGAGCTTGGTTAGCTTGCGTTGAAAAACTTTTTCCATTAGCATTGCTAATTTGCAATACTTTCGTACTTCGTACGAGCTCTGCACGACAACTGGTGTAGGATATAATAACTAAGATTTTGAATGAGGAAAATTTTGTGGTTAATGAAATGTTAAAATATTTATTTTGACAATGATTTTTTTTTTCTAAGACCAGCCACGCAGGCCATGTCCTTTATACTTGGATGGGCATGTTGATGGTCAGGAAGAAAAAAAGGTGAAGA